GGCGGCGGCGGCGGCTCCTCCGGGCCGCGGGCCTTGAGCGGCGCGAGCGGAGGCTGCGGCCGCGCCGAGCTGGTGTCCGGGGCGGGGACGGGTCTGTGGGGGCCGCCCCCCAAGCGCTTGGTGACCCCGGCCGGGGCAGCCCTGTGCACAGTGCCCTGGCACCGGTGCACCGGCCCTTGTCCTGGCACACGGGCTGCTCCGCTGCGGGTGTCACCACGGGCCCCGCGCGCTCCTCGGCTCTCAGCGCAGCCCCCAGGCTGCTGCTGCCACCCTTCCCACTGGGCCCCAGTGTCCGGGAAAGCGCCCGCTCCGCAGCGCCCGGCCCACGCGGATGCCGGGCATAGCTGACCCTTCAACCGCCGCGGTGGTGCCGGGAGGCCCCGGTGCACGTGACTGCCGCTGGCGGCCGGCGGTGCGGGATGGAGGGTGACCCCGTGCCCAGCACAAACACCCCCGGGACAGGGGACCCACGGTCTGCCCTGCGGATACCCGGCCCCCAGCCCAGCACAGGCCCCTGGACCCCACATGCAGACTCCCCACTCGCACCAGCATGCCCAGCAARGAGTTAAAAACACTTTTAATGGACACATTGGCTTTGGTCTGAATCAAGGACACTTGTGACAAAGGCAACACGGAGCTCCCTGTGCACGCGCAGCCCGGCTGGCCCTGGCTTGGGGGCTGCAGAAGGGCCCCCCAAAGCCGCAGGGACCCCTGCCCACGGCCGGAGCGGTGCCAGGGCAGGGAGACAGGGCACAGCAATGCCTCCCTGTCCCCCAGGTCCCTTCCCAGCTGCATGGTGCCAGGATGGGCCCAAGGAGGCCAAGACAGAGAAAGGCCACCTCCGATGGGCCTGGCCTTGGATCTCCGCTCGTCATGGTGCTCCAGGCACGATCGGCACTGAAATTTCATCCCTGGAAGAGGCACTGGTTTATGTCCCAGGGGGACGTCCACCCTTCCTGCCCTGTGAGCCCAATGGCGTAAATGTTTAATCCCGTATTAAATATTCATGCTAGCATTAAGGGTGGAAAAGCCTCCGCGAGCGCCCTGGGGCCGAGCCAGCCCGGCCAGATGTGAGGGAAGATACCGGGAGCCAGTGGCTGCACGGGGCACCACTCCCAGCCCGTCCACACCGACCCGCGGCGGCTACGGCCAAAAATCCCTGCTCCAGAGTATGGGAAAAGGCTTGAAAACCTGGCRCTGCCAGAGCCGAGAGAACAGCAGCAGGCGGGAAGCCGGTGCGATGGGTCCTACTGCTGGCTCGGGGCTCCCGACACGGCGCCCGGAGCTCGCGCCGGGCTCTACCCGCCTGCCCAGGAGGGATGGGTGAAGACGATGTTCCTCCTCTTGGCCCAGCGGGAGAAGACGGCTTTCTCGGTGATGAAGCGGTGCCCGGCGCGCGGCGCTCGCTCGTGGGCCAGGTAGGTCTTGCACTCGTCCAGCCGGCCCTTCTCAAAGTAGTGGTAAGGCACGCTCGGGGGGTTCTTCTCCCTGCTGCCCRCAGCGTGGAGCTCAGCGGGGCGCCCGGTGGCGCCCGCACCGCCCCCCGGCCCTGCCGCCCCCCACACCTGCAGTAATGGTCGCTGACCATGCCGAAGACCAGGATCTGCTCGCACAGCTCCATGGCCAGGATCATGGTGAACCAGCCCGTGCTCAGGAAGGAGCCGGATTTCATCCTGCCAAGCACAGCGCCGGCGCTGGAGGCATCGGGCCAGCGCCGCAGGGTGGCCCGCGCCCACCGCAACCCCTGTACCTGTTCTTGCCGGTCTCATTCTGGAAGACGTCGTCGCAATAGGCCATCTTCTGCTCGGTGAGCGTGTAGATCTGCAGGTCGGGATACTTCTCCATCACCTCGAGCAGCGCCCGGTAGGTCAGGCCCCCCTGCTCCCGGCTCATCTTCTTGGGCGGCCCCCAGACCACGTAGACAGTGTCCTGGGACTGCTCGAAGAAGTAGGGCTGGTTCCTGAGCAGCAGCGGCACGCTGGTGTGCGACACCACGCGCAGAGTGCTGCGGGCGCCCACATCCTCCTCATAGCCGCGCGTGGGCGCGTGGTTCATGCGCAGCACGCACTCCTCGCCGTCGATGGCCTTGCCCAGGCGCGAGCCCAGCATCTGCCCCGAGCTGGAGACCAGGGCGCAGCGGCGGCAGGGCGCACGCTCCAGCGGCTGCGGGCGCACGCGGCCGTCAGCGGCGCCGGCCT